AGTCAAAATGAAGCGCCAACAAATTTCTCATGATCTTTTATCTAAAATTTTCGGCAGTCATAGAGATCTAAATAATCTGTGTGATGTACCATAGAAAATAAAACTTTAACACATTGGCGCAATATAAATGAATAACCTTTAACTTTTTAACCTTTTTATGTATTTACTCTACCTCACCTACTTAAAGTCGTGAGTCCACACCCATCTCAGCCCCACGATGGCTGGGGCTGAGATGGGTGTGGACTCACGACTTTAAGCTGGCAGGAAATGACACTATAATATTCAGATATTAAAATTCATCATCATCACAATCACCAATAGCCAAAATGAAGTTGCCAACAAATTTCTCATTATCTTTTATTAGGGATTTTCGACAGTTATAGAGATCTAATTTCTGTGATGTACCATAGAAAATAAAACTTAATTGTCTTTGATGTTACTTTACCTATTTCATGTGCCGAAAACCAATCTTATCTTTACACGCTCTTTTTTTTTCTCATACTTTTCAAATTATAATAAGGCACGCGCACTGAAGTCGTGTAGGTAATAATTTCTGATATTTGTGGGCGGAGGCCTACCAGTATCTTGCTATAATTATTTTGTTAGAAACTGAGTCATTTATGCACTTCATTTTAAACATCCTTTTGATTCATCAAATCACATTGCCGCCAAAAAGTGGGGGACGAACCCCCTTAAAAATATGTGGGGAACGTGTGTCCTCGTCCCCCACCCATAATCTGCGCCCATGTCCGTTCTGCATAGAATCGAGTTACCGATACTTGTTGTTGGATTGAAGGAAATAAAAATAAACAATCGTATCAAGGAATCCGGTACTTCTTTCGATTGTAGCTTGCATCTTTGACTGTATCATTGCTTATCTGTGAAGAACTAGCCTTAGGGCAATAAAATGTACTGGTTTCTCATATCTATATATCGTGTAATATTAGCCTAATTTATTATTATACTGTATAAACTAAAAGCAATAATATTGCATACATGTATACATAGACAATATACATAGGCTAATATTAACACCCCAGATAGACTAATTCATATACTTGGATAACGTATTCCTAAATACACACATGGCCTACCTATATAATAGTATACCTACACCCTCAGAATATTAAGTACATTAAGTAATAACAATTATTAATAAATTTAGCATATCTAACATAAGATAATAAGTCGGATGGTGCTGATTGCGGCTTCAGCACGTCCCTAAGGACCCGCCAATATATTCAATTTCTAAGTTGAATGAGGCCGAGTAAAGAATTATCAATTCATTAATAATCCTAACACGGATTTTTTTTTTCATATTAATTTACATGTCAATTCTTAAGTAATTTTATAACAATATTTTTTACATATTTTTCCTGTTCTTGAATTGCATATTTACATAACGATGAACCCGTCGGAACACAAAGTACTAATTTTACAAATTAATTTTTACCAAATAAATATTGCATATGAATATCAGTAGGCCTACTTACTTTTAGAGTTGTTCTGACATTAGCACTGTAACCTGTTTTTGAGACGAGAGTACCATATCCCTCACGATGTATAATCCCCGACTCATTTGACACCATGTGAACACCGTAATTAGTTATGAATTACCGCAGTCCTTGCGTTAAATGCTACACGGCTGGGCTATATTGAACAAGTGAGATACGATCTGCAACATATGTGACTATCTAATAGAGACGTCGATGCGCGCGCACTTTGCACATTGGGTAATTGGCAGTTTTCATTAGATCATGATTAGGCGATGTTATGTTCAATGAAAGAATATTTCGGATGCTTAGACTATAAGGGCCTATATCTTGCCATGACGTCGTTTTAATAACGCTTTATGAAACTATATTCAGCGGAAACGATAGGTGAGTAGGCTAAACATGTCATTCTTTGTGCATAATAAAAATGTCGTATATGTCTTGATTATATACAGTTCTTGTTTCTGTATGTACTAATTAAAGATCATGCCATCTGTCATGAAATCCAACCCACAAAAAAAGTTTGAAGATGCGTAACTTGTTTGAAAGATTCCAAACATTATCAAGTTTCAAAGAGAATTACAACAAATCATTTTTAAATAATATGGGCCTACAGACTTTATACACAAATTATTATAGGACCTTTTGATTATTTATAATGTATTGCATATAAGGTATACTGTGTTTGGATATTTAATCCATGTTATATTATTTATGTCAAGATTCTTTTGTAGCCAAGGCTTCAAGGAATAGTAAAAATAGTCGTTTTCACTGATTTGGCCACCATCATAATTATATTGTAAATAGCTATATAAATAAACAATCATGTGCTCTTTTACGAAAGAAAATCGCTCTGAATACAAGTAATAAGTAAATAATGTATAGGCCTACACATAATTACAAAATTTTCACTAAAGCATACCCACAAAACGACATTAACGTAGCCTACGGATAAACACGCGTGCTTTTGAGACATGCGCGTAATTCTCTCCCTCCGTTCTGGCTGTTCAGTTGTTAAGATTGATTGCCACTACGGAAAGGTCCATTATGTAGGTCTTTATATAAAAGTCAAAATTAATATTCTACAACCATACATTGAAATTTAAGTTAAAGCGTGTCGTGGCCAAATGAAATTAGGATACAATAATAATTGAAGTTTAAATATCGCCAGCATACACCATCGACAATTATTGTCGTATTATTATACCATAAGCACTCGTGGCGCTTTTAACTAAAGTAGCAGTAGCTTGCTGAAAGCCATCAAAATAATAGGCCTAACTGGTCTTGTCTTTTATAATAATGCTTCTATTTTCCTTAATAGTCTTTGGCAGCATAATTCATCTGTGATTTAGCATGTTCTTTTCAGGACGATAAACTACACACATGTGTCTGGGTTAATGACATGCCTTTTTAAATGCCGATGTAGTGGTGTTTCATATCAAGTTCGTATCGTGTACTATGGTGTAAATGGATACTATTCCAACTATGTTTGTTTATATGTTTAATTGACCAGAATTTTCCAGTTGACAAACGTGACAAAAAATATGTTCTCCTAAGTTGTTTTTTAAACATAGTACATTAATAAAATTAATAATAATATTAATAAACATACTTAATTTTAAAAAGACGCTTATAATGTTAACAACATTAAGACACTTATCAGAAACAAAACTATATTTTTAATAATTTGTATTGCTCCCACAATTGTTGATTTTCAATAAAGCAGCGTCTGTCGTTATGAATTAAACATATTTTGATCAGTGGTGGCGCGCGCCAGAGGTGCTGGGGGGGGGGGGGGGGGGGGGGGGGGTTGAATAATATAAGGTACACTTTGGATCTTATTTTATCTGAAAATTTGGTCATTTTATGCTAGGCCAGGTCCCAGGCCTAGCTCCTACTTACCCTCAGTCAGTCAGTGCACTCCACACCTGCCGGACTATATGATGGGAAGTGGTACTGTACTACTTTATGTACCTAGCTAGCCTAGGCCTACGCTAATGTAGTCCTACTCCTATTTACCCAGGCTAGTTAGGCCTCTGTCATCTTCTCATCTTCTTTGATTAATTACTTTTTGAATTGTGTTCCTAATCCTTATTAGGCCAAATAAAATTAACAAAGTGGCTGCATCTACGCCGATCTTACGTCATGCTGTAGTGCATTAAGATAGGCAGAGTTATGTTTTAAGGTTAGGGCCAAGTCGACCAATCAGCGTGTTGGGATTTGCATAATTCGGCGTAGACACAGCCACTACGTAAATTGCTAGTTTCACATTCCTGCCTGCCTTCATCACATTTTGGAGCCTCATGAAAAAAATTTACTATTTTTCAAAAAAAAAAAAAAAAAAAAACATTAATTTTTCCATGGACAATAATAAAAATAATGACTATCTGAAAGAATGAAGTCAATCCTAAGAAGAGGTGGGAACATAAATGGCAGAAATACATTACAAAGATTCATTTTTACTTCTTTTATAAAAAACACCATTTTTACTATTTTCAGTACCAGCCTACTAACCATTACATTAGTGTATAGGATAGTAAAAAAGAAATAGTAAATACCCTCACCAAAAGATTATTTCAAATTCTGGACGTGATACTAACAATTAATTTTATTTGGCCTTTATTATTATTGATTGATTTTGTGATTTCAAGTTGCTAACCATGCACAATGAAGACAGTATTCATGGAAACAACTTCAGAAAATAGATAAACAATGCACAGGCCTAGCCTAGCCTACATTTTTATGGCGAATTAAATACTAAGAATAAGTATTAATTTTATTGTCTTCTTTGTGAGAATATTAGCTACATACAAGTTATTAGTGGAAAATAATAAATTTATGGGTATATATAAAAAAAAATAAATACTAATTTTTTTTGTTTCTTTATCTTAATTATTCTGTTTATCTGTTGCAAAAAAAAAAGTAATATGGAATTTATTTGCATATATAATTTGTATTTGTATTTGCTATGCCTTAGAAGAGCCATAAATTATTAACAAATTGATTGCAATCTTTAAAAAACAAGCTTGTGGATTCGAATTGTTCGTTGTACTGTAAAACCAAGGAAACCCAAAAGTGAAGTCTTATTGCCAGTCGGGTCCTTTTGACAGCATACTGTATTTTCCAAAGAGTGTTTTTTTAATCTCATCCGAAAGACAGTGCGCTATTGAAACTTGCATTTCAGCCCGCCAGCTAAAACACAAGGAGAGCAACGGATTGGATTGCACCATGTAAAATGTCCACTGCTCAGCACACACACAGTGGCTACCAACATCAATAGCCAGCTGATCTAAGCTTGCGTTGTACACGCACAAACTTTCATGTCTTCAGTGAACAGTGGCGTATTGAGGTGTCTTGAAATGGAGTGGGGGTGGGGGGCTCACCCCTAGATACGCCACTAAGATTGTCTTTTGATATTTTAAATTGTTTCTAAAATGCTACTTTATATTTTTTATAATTCATACAGTAGCATGTTTAGTGTACAGTATATTAATCAAATTAATTATAATTCTTAACTCCTGAATGTATTTGTGTTACTTTTTTTACAGTGCGCTGGTTCTGGTATATTTTAGAGCCGACTGGGCACCCCAATGTCATGTTATGGACGATGTTGTTATGGAACTAGCCAACCGATTTGTGCAAGCATTGTTTGTAAAGGTAATGTATTCCTGAATTTGTGTAAATACCGAACATAATTGTCAGTCCTTACAGTATGCCAATGCCTTTCAAATCCTGTTTTTTTACCAGTATGAAACATAACCAGGTCTCTTGGGTTGAGGGGTGATGGGGAGCAGGCCTATTCTATAAAGTTGGCATTCAAACTAAGTACCCACTCAAATCCAGAACCATAATTCTTAAGGACGTGGAAGGGGGTGTTCCTATCTAGAAGTCCAAGGTTGTCCATCCTAGTCACCCTGGTTTAATTCAGGGGAAAGCACATACAATCCTGTAAGTGACTCATTTCTTCATCATTTTAATGATTTTAAGCAAGGGAAGGTGGTAGGTTGGTTTAATTAAAAAGTTTAGCTCGAAAAGGGGGTTAGACCAAACCATAGAAATGTAGCTCCTCCTCCCTGGTTGCAGTCCTGACACTTATACTCCTGGTGGAGAAGGACAACATGGATAAAGTGCCTTGCTTACAGACGCAAACAAGAAATCAGTCTTGAACCCCGACTTTTTGATTCGAAGCCCAAACTTTCACCAAGTCCATGCCAAATCCTTCTATATCTACCAGTATTTGTTCAATTCATGATTTCAAACATTTACTCATAAAATGAATGAGTAATATTAATTTATTTCTTCAGATCCACTGAGTTTTTCTTTTAATTAGCCCTCTACCCTTAGTGGCTTTTAGCCTTGTTTTGGGTGAATTCTCATAAAAGATACACCATTTTAATAATTATTAATCCTATATCAACATTTATAGGTTTTTTCCTATACATTAATTTTATTGACCAATTTGAAAGCACATTAAGATACTTTTTAAAACTAGTAAAATGGGGCTGTAATATTGAGATTGGAATTTATATATAAAAGTGAAAATGAAAAAGCTTTTAGTTATTGCTGCTGCCAATCATCCGTGTGGTGCTCAGAGCATCCTACATTCGAAAAAATCTAGAGCGACGTACGAGAGTTTATGTTTTAAAATTTTATTTATATCTCAGGTTGAAGCAGAAAGTGTTGCAGAAGTTTCTCACCGATATGGAATTGCAGCAGTCCCCTCGTTTGTTTTTATTAAGGTAATCAATTTTAAAATGTTTTCTTTTTCAAGTTAATGGATATTAGGAACATTTCAAATATTAATACGTTCAATTGTAATTGATGACATACACTGTATGTGTTATCTCATATTTGTCTTCCACATGGACGTCACATGGCAAAAGGAACGTAACTGCTTTAATATTTACATTGTTTTGCCTTGGAACAGCCGCACATGTATCATTGACAACTGATTGTTAAGTTGTCGTATCTTTGAAATTCCTTACCAACTGTGATTTGAAATTGATTGTAGTTAATCATCTTTCTTTAATAGAATAAGCAGAAGATAGATTCACTGGATGGCGCAAATCCACCGGAATTAACAAAGAAAGTTCAACATCATGTGGGAAATACTGCTAGTCCTGCACCGCCAGCTCCAGAAAAACAAACAGCAGAGGTACTGAACATTAAGAGTGGTTAAAGATGCTTGTCTTCTCAGGGTGCTATTCATTTTTCTAATTTTATTGTATTTTATATCCTTCATACCAACATTTATTTGTAGAGCATCAGTTTTATTATTTTAGTGATAATAAAAGTTAGAGCCGTATTAGTCAACAGCATGAAATACAAATTACAAAGTACAGTAGCACCTTCTTTAGAAAGAACAAAATTTATTGAGACACAGGCATTCGCTAGCTTGAGCTTTACCTGATGAAGCTAGCTTAAGCTTGTGCATCAATGAATTTCGTTAGTCTAAAAAAGGTGCTATTGCACTTATTTAATTTATACTTCATTATTTAAGTGGTGAGGCACCATACAAGGCTTCTAAGGGCCTCTGACTTCAGGTCTAATGGCCTCTGACATCTGGTCCAAGGGCCTCTGACATTGGGTTCAATGGCCTCTGACGTCGGGTCCAATGGCCCCTGACATCAGGTCCCATGGCCTTTGACATCGGGTCCAAGGGCCTCTGACATTAGGTCCAATGGCCACTGACATCAGGTCCAAGGGCCTCTGACAGGAGGGCAGTGGCCTCTAACATTGGGTCCAAGGGCCTCTGACATCAGGTCAAATGGCCTCTGACATCAGGTCAACTGGCCTGGACGAGAGGTCCAAGATTTCAAGTGTAATTAAAAATGTCCATTGTTTTACAGAATTTGGTGCGTTAATAACAGGCCAAAAGGTGTGTTTATACTGATAAACACAAAATAATCGATTTTTGTTTTTTAATGTGTGCCAGAGAGCCTGCTTGTGTTTCAACTGCATTTTAGCTTTTTAATATCGGTTTTTCGTAGCAGAAATCATGTCACCATTTTGGTTATACAACATATTCTCCAAACTGTATACTGTAGTTTCTCACTTCACGTAAATTCCGGTCATAATGACGAGGAGTTTGATACAGTGTGTGGCGAAAAAGCGAATGTTTTCAATGCTTTCAGCTATGCTCATCGGCATAATGAACAAGCGAACAAACGAGGACAATGGTGGGCCCAGAAGAGCAGAGAGGTCAAGGCCAAATATCCCCCCACAAAAATACACAAGGATTTCTTCACTCCACATGCTTGTTGACGTTTTAGCTTGTAGGCCTAAAACATGAACAAGAGGCTAATAATTTTGAAAGTGATACGATCTATCTTTGCAGTGGTTTTATTTTCTGTTCAAACACGCTATCCATTGCGTGTGTTTAATCGCTTTTTTTCCAACTGGTGGCTTTTCTACTGTGGGAAAAAGCGATTTTTCAAAGAAGCGATTTTTTTTCCCTTTCCTGTAGAACAGGCCCAAAAATATGTTTTTATTTTCATTTAATCTCATCAGTATAAGCAGGTATTATATAAAAATGTCTTGCCTTTGATACTGACTTATTAGTGAACAATATTGCATCTTGCTAGGTAACCATTTACCTATTCTGATCCAATTAGTAAATTCTCCTTTAGCTTACAAACACAATGTGTTGCTTCACAGGATCTGAACAAGAAGTTGAAGACACTGATAAGTTCTCAGCAATGTATGGTCTTCATAAAGGGCTCACCACAGGAACCTAGGTGTGGATTCAGCAAACAACTGGTTCAAATCTTCACTGAATCCAATATCCAGTTCAGTAGTTTTAATATTCTGACAGATGACACAGTAAGACAAGGTACAAACACATCCACTTTAATATAATAATAATAATAATAATAACAACAACAACAACAACAACAACAACAACAACAACAACAACAATAATAATAACAATAATAATAATAGTAGTTGTTATTGTCGTGATGGAATGATAGACAATAACTGGAATTTGCGTCAGGAGAAACATGTGTAGGTGTAATTTTGGCCTACCTGACGTGAAATGTACTGAATACTCAGTACATTTGAAAATAATAATAATAATAATAATAATAATAATAATAATAATAATAATAATAATAATAATAATTAAACACTGCAGTACCCGCTGCTTACTTGGACTCGAATTCAACCCTGGCCATCAGACGCAAGCTAGGTGGTCTAGAGGTATGATGCCAGGCTAGTGATCTGGAGATCATGGGTTCGAGTCCCACCAACCACCAGAGAACAACTTGCGATTTTTTTCACAATTGTTTTCAAATGTACTGAGTATTCGGTACATTTCCACATCAGGTAGGGCAAAATTACACCTATACAATAATAATAATAATAACAATAACAATAATAATAATAACAATAACAATAATAATAACTTTTTCAGAGTGTTTCCCTTGTGGAGCATTTCGTAATTTGCTGCATGAGATATATAAGTGCATTGGCCCTCAAAACTCCAAAGCACCGACTTATACTCTTGGGTGGAGAAAGACAACATGGATAAAGTGCCATACCCAAGTGCACAGCGAGGGTTTCGAATCCTGACCTTTGAACTATGACCATTGGGCCAACAGCTTATATATATGTATATGTAACAATTAATTAAACACGCACATCATCAGTGTTTGATAAAAATACTGAAGTGTAGATGATTAAGTTTTTTTTTTCCATTTCCATAATTTCCCATTTCCATAATTTTCCAGGTTTAAAGAAGTACTCTGATTGGCCCACCTACCCACAGATTTATCTTAAAGGCGAGCTTATTGGTGGATTAGATATTATTAAGGAAATGAAAGAATCAGGTGATTTGGATTCTACTTTCCCTAAAGTAGAAAATATAGATGACAGGTAAGGAACTGTTATTAAAAAATCGTCGCTCACATCACGAACTGACACAATCAAATTAGATTGTTTTAGTTCGTGAAATCACAGTACCGCGTCAAAACGAGCGCGTAATGGTTGTCAAGCAATTCCGTATTCTTTACCACACAAAAAGTCCTTAACAACAAGAGCGCGTATTTTGACGCGCTTTTTTGATTTCATGAACTAACACAATCTACTTTGATTGTGTTAGTTCGTGATGTGAGCGACGAAATGTGGAATAATATAACTTTATGATTCTAGTAATAAAATGCAAAAAAGAAAAAACATTCTTTAACATAGGTAAAGGTAGGTAATAAATTTGTTTTTAGTTACAAGGAAAAACATTGATTTTTTTGTCAGTCTCATGTCATAATTAAAACTAGCCAACAGGCCATTCAAATGACGGATTGTTTGATGAGAGAAAATTATCTTATTTAAAATAAGTTGTTTTTTAAGCTAATTTTAGATTATAATTTCAAAATTACTTGACATTACTCAACATATCTTATATCATTTTATTGATGCCTTTTTGCAATGTATTTTTATTTCAATCTTAAACTTACATTTCATTTTTTCTGTGTTCTAGGTTGCGTACTTTAGTCAGTCGTAGCCCGGTAATGGTATTTATGAAAGGAGAACCAGAGGCACCTCGTTGTGGTTTCAGTAGAACGTTAATATCTATTCTAAAGGAGAATGGGTAATTTTATATTAATAATAATAATAATAATTTACATTTATATAGCGCATAATTGCGCAGTTCCTCTATGCGTTTTACATAAAATTATAAAACAAAAAACATGTTGACTTTACAATAATATAAGGTGTGATGTTAAAACAGTGCTAGGTCTCAAAGGGTCAACCTTCCGCCTCTGCCCTGGCATTACTTAGGTGGCGCAAACTAAAGAGCAGGTTTCACATTTGCAAATTCACTTATAGCAGTTGAGCTGTCATATTTTTGTTGGCTTAATTAAACATTCATCCTATGTATTATTTTTATTGAGATTACAATTAGAATTATGATGTGGTTATACTGTACCAGACTTAATTTCATTTATTTTCATATCAACAATACAACACAAATTATTTTTCTTAATATACTTTAGGGGGAGGGGGTTCATCCCCCACCCCTGCATCTGCCCCAGTAGAGTAGTTATGTAATAAGAAGAAATTATGTAAACTAACTTCATTGTTTTTTTTTTTGTTACAGAGTTCAATTTGACTCATTTGATATACTCACTGATAATGATGTGCGGCAAGGATTGAAGAAATATTCTAATTGGCCAACATACCCGCAAGTCTATGTAAAAGGCGATCTCATTGGTGGTTTGGATATCATTAAGGTGTGTATCATTCATTCTTGTATAAACAAGTTATTTGATTCGTTTTTGTTTCTATTTTTGTAATGCGATCATCATGGATATCAATCCATCACAATTTACAGGAACTGAAAGGAAGCAATTTCTGAGACTGCACAAAAATTTTGCAGAGGAGCACTATCTACCTTGAAAAAAACAAACAAGGATGGTGATGATGATGATGATGTTGGTGTTGATGATGATGATGTTGATGGTGGTGGTGATGTTGATAATGGTGATGGTTTAAAGATACACAGCCACGTAAAATTTAATAAACTTGAAAATGAAGATAAAAATTAATTTATTTATTGTTCATTTAATAATTATTAGCATCCAATATTTTTCTTACCATTCATGAACTATACCATAAATAATACAATTACAATTAAGAATTATTATTGTTTTATATATTTTAGGAGCTGAATGAAAATGGTGAATTGTTGGATACCCTTGAAAGTTGATAATCTCAACTATAAACTTGTCCTATAAAATGAAAACAGTGATCCTGCCAATTGCAGGCTCCCAAGTCTCGAGAGTCTCTTGAGAAATCGGTGCGGCCTTCCTCACTCCCACAAACAAGCAAGAATCACACGGAAACTAACCGACCTCTCGCAAATTTTTTTATATCTGTCTCGCGCAAGTCAGTGTCGATGGGATATTTCCATGCACACCAAAAGTTAATTAGATTATTAATTAAGAGAGCTCTAACATAGAACAAACGTTACTCCGACGAATAAAGAAAGGGAGGCCATGTCCTTGGGACCCCTGAAATTGTGTCATATCTGCTAGTATTGTATTCTAAGTATTTAAATGCTGATTGTGTTTTACATTATAGATAAACATAATCCAAACTAGTACATATTGGGAAAGGTTGTGGACCTTATTATTCACATATTCAACTTTCATACAATATATATTATTTAAAGGATTTACAACAGTTAGGCCCTATGTATGGTATTTGTTTAAACTACTTACAGTATAGAGGGTTATCCATTTTCCATAATTTTAACAAGAGTACAAAACATATTCTTGATGGAAGGCGGTTAACAGTGTATGTACTGTTGATAATGAAAAGATGATAATCTCACAATTATGACAACCATCATTTGATTACAGTATGTACTTTTCTGGAGTAAGGAGGAGTAACAATAAAAAATAATTTTTGTTTTGTACTGTCTTGAAAGTTTAAGGAAAAATCGAAATTTCTTAAAGTGTATAATAAACTAAGGATTTAATTCTCTTTATATAACACATTAATTTTGAACTAGAAAACCCTTGCAGATGTCTAAGCAGGGCACGCATTGTGTAGGCCCTGCTTTCTCAAACTATGGGTTGCTACCCAAAGTTGGGTCGCCAAACACTTCCGGGGGTAGCAAGTCTGCTTCGGACATTAAAATTGACTGACTTTGATAAAGTGCATTTCGATAATTAGTGGAAAATACTGTAAGTGATCGAATAAGCATCACAGCAGCTTATTTGAGAGCAGCGCTAATGAAGTAATACTGGCGTGGCGCTTTCCATGTCCATTCAAATGTGTATACCATCTCACTTATTTCCTATCATAGTTGGTTCATCGTAAATATAGTATACGTTTATAAAGAAATGTTTGTCTTCATTGTGTTATTTATTCATCTTATTTAACACTCTATACATTGTATTTAAAACCCAGTTTCTCAAAGTGTTTCATTACACAATTATATACTCTTGATAGGCGCCGCGTCGCTTATTCGAGAACGGCGCATCTATGGTACTTCACATCCTACAAAGAACTGGGGATGTACAAGCTTCATTTTTCAATTATTATTTACCTAGCCGAATGGCCGACCGGTTAGCAGGGGCGCCGCAAGCTATAGCCATAATATCGTCGCTGGTTCGAACGGCACGCTCGCCTATGGTTCTGGTGGTAGAACAAGTCTTCTCGGATAAGGACTATAAACCGTAGGCCCAGTGTATACAATGGCTCGTGTGCACTATAAAGAACCCAGTACATCCTTCAAGATGAGTAGGGGGGTACCCCGGTGTACTGGAAGAGACAGCCCCTGTGGTGGACGACAAGAGTTGCTGGTACCAGGTACAAGTCATTGATCGAGTTAATAGTCCACATTTTAAGCGCCCTGAGCATCTTACATTAGATGGATTTGTGCACTATATAAAACTACACTATTATTATTGTAATATTATTATTAGTCATCCTCGGCAGTCGACCGTGCACAAGTCGAAAATTTGTGATTATTTTATTGGTTTGCATTAAACATTTCAAAATTACGAGTATAAGTAAACATTCTATAAAATAGAACATTTCTGCACACAATAACAAATGCCTACTGTTACTTTGCTCAGTAAATAAAAATATGAACAATTTTCAAACCTACTTTATATTCGACTTAGCCGAGGGTGACTGAAGAAGTACAACAGCATATTCACGGTGGCTGTTTGAGCAAATTTGTTACCATGCCTCGTCACGCTGAGTTCTCCATGGATACGCATCAGCCAACCACCGTCGACACACTGTGTGCCTAGCTCTATTGTTGAAGTAAAACATTCTGAATTCAATGTTGGTAAGGAAAATTACAGTATCCCAACTTTATGTATAATAATGATATTTAAAAACTAGATGTGTTCAATTATTATTGTTGTTGTTATTATTGTTATTATTATTATTATTATTATTATTATTATTATTATTATGTTACTAAAACCTACCTTAAGGGGAACTTCGACAGTGGAGAAAATAGAGAACAATTAAGAAAACGACGTTAAGGGGAAAATAACACAAAAGATATACCCCTAAGCCCAAGTTAGTGCTAGTTGTTGTTATTATACATTACGTTGTGACTATCGAACTATAGCTGCAATGGTAATAGAGAGGTACATGGAGACTCCAAACCATTGCGGGTTATGAGCCGACTTTGCGTAGTATTTTTAGTTCATCTACCATGAGTAATAATATGGCAATTTAATTGAGAGCGAAAACTGTTCATGCATTTCTTGGTAATTTGCGTTTAACCTAGCTGAAGTTTCATTTAAATCCATTAATAATTTTTTTTTTAGATATCTGGGACGTTAGAAATTGAAACGACCCTCACATTTACACCCTAAACTGTATCTTTACCAAAACATAATAATTTCTTCCTTGTAACTTGGTTAGGTTAAACTTTCCCGTACAAGTGGCAGTGTAAAAGTCAAGAGTGCTAAAGATACAAAGTGGCAGTGCAAAGGTGGTGGCACAGACATTTTGTGCCACCACTTAAGTTTGTGGTTTTTGTGCCGCCGACTTTTGCACTGCCACTTGACTTTTGCGCTGCCGCTTAAAAACGTGCCTGTGATAAGAAATCTTAATACCTGCTTTGTATTTTTACCAAGTTTTTGACGAAACTACATGGCACTATTAACAATATTACTAGGCCTATTATATTGTCCTATCCGAAAATATAGAGGGCACAATTGAAGATAATTTTGAACCATTTGCGTCTACCCGGTTGTAATTCACTCAATTTTGATTTGAAAATGTTTGTCGGTATAATAATGATTTGTAAGGTGTATTAAATGAAGAATTAGCCGAAGAAATAACTGGCTGGTTGATAATAAATTGTCTTTTCATCTAGATAAAACGGAATCGATTTTATTTGGTTCAAGAAATAAACTTAAGAATGACTGTAGTATGAATATTATTTGTAATAATACGAGAGTTCAGGCCAAATTATCTCTGTAAAATATTTATGTATGGAAATGGACCAACATATTTCAGGTGAAACTATGGCCAATAAAGGTATTCAGAAACTAAATTCCACAATTAAATTTATATCCATAAAAGCTAAATATATGGATGAAGACAATGAAATTGCTTGCGTCAGCCTTAGTACAATGTCATTTAGACTATGCTTGTACATCTTGGTAATAGTAGCTTAACACAAAAAACTAAATCCAGATTGCAAATTTGCCAAAATAGATTTATTAGAATTGTTTTGAAACTACCTCCTCGTCGTCATATACATTATGTTTATTTCATTTAATTAAAATGGATACCAGTGGCTCAATTAAAGTTGGGACTAGTACAGTAGGCCTACACCAAATATTAAATGGCAATGGCCCAGCTTATTGGAGAATTATTTTATTCCTATCAGAAATATACACAGTAGGCCTATTAGTTAGTACACGAACGAGTGAGGCATCTGTAATTATTCATAGACATATAACTTCCATCGTCAAAAGTACTTTTAAAATCACAGGGGCTACTGGATAGAACCAACTGTCGACTGTCACTTAGAAAACTGCAGTGCTGTACTGTATTTTAAATTTTAAGCGTATATGTAGTTAACAGTATTCTGTTAAAAAAAGTATTTTAAATAATTTATATTAGACCATTTTATTAGAAATTTATCATATTGAAGAAAATTATTTTTATTGTTTTGCCAAGTGTTTTGTGTGAGGACCACAATGGGAATAAATTTTAACTTGTTTGTGTTATCCTCGGAATTTTGTTTTATCGTGTTGTTATATTGATTGGTGTGTATGAGTTCCAAATAAAGTTCATCAATCAATCAATCAGTCATAGCAGTAGGCCCTCCCATGAAAACTTAATAGGTTGTAAAAAAACCCTATTAATTAATCATTAATTATTAGTAATTAATTATATTGTACAGTACCGGCCAATATTTATTGCAAACTTCAAACGCACCCAACCCGTTGCGCTTTCATTGACAACGCGCTGGCGTTTTCGTTGTTGAAACTGTTCACATCGTTCAAAGCTAAGAAATTTTTACAGTATTCAGATTTCAACGCAAAGTCTTATACCGTATATATACTCGTGTATAAGGCGACATGCGTATACGACGACTCCCGAATTTGAGAAGATTTTTAGGCGATTTTTGTATGTCGGACGTATAAAGGCCAACTCAGACAGCGTCGTTCGACGCAGCCCGACGCGATTTGTTGTTGCGTCGGGTCTCTGTGAGTTAAACGCAGACGCGATGTTTGCATCGGGGGCAGTCGCGTCGTAGAATATTAAACATGTTTAATATTTCTCACGACGGCTTAAGCCTTATACGCGAACATATACGGTATTTAACAGTTACTGTACACACTCTATCCATATGCAACACAATAGCGCCTATTGTAGATTCGCCAAGATATCCGCCCTCATATGACATAAATTCTATATTCTACGAAAAATTTTATCTTTTTCTATTCTTTTTTCTCGCTTTCTTATTTTTCTTTTTTTTTGGAGGGGGTGCGCTGGGTGCGTCCTCCCTAAATCCGCCCCTGGTTGGGCCCTTGGTTTGGACTTCTTCGTCGGACTTGTCAGACCCCTTGTCGGGAAATTTCTTGCACCACCACTGTTGCATGGCTCGCTCGACTTGCCGGAACGCACGATCCAAGGACTCTATAATCTGTTCAGCTAATTCTAAAAGCCATAAAAGCAATCTTAAAAGCAATAGAAAAACAGTAAATGCCAGATAACTTCCAATAATCAACGTGGTAAACCACCATGAGGCATGTAGTTCTTCTGCTTTTTTCGGCTCCAAGCCAAACGTAGGAAAAATTATCGGAACAATAAATGCTTTACATATCCAGTAAAAGTCAGTTACTCTACTCATCAGCGAAGTACAGGTCCAAACCAGGACAAATTGCTTCACAATAAAATCAATCTGTCTTTGCAAAGATACGACATCAGACTCTTGACAACTGGTGATGTACGGTAATCTTTTGACAACCAATGAGATATAATCAGCAAGACAAAGGTTATTATGTGGATGTAGAGAGACTTCAAGTTGTGAAATGGGAGAGTGATTAGTACAATGGCAACCAGGAAACCTATAAAAAATATACAATTAAATATAAAAGAAATGTACAGAGTTCAATAAAATATTTCATAAAAAAATGTTTAAACATTTGGCTGTTAACAAGTCTACCACGCTTTCACAATTCCTTTACAATTTGTCTTGTAAATTATTGTCATATGTTCTACCACGTTTTCACAATTTTTTTACAATTTGTCTTGTAAATTGTCATATGTTAATTTGTTATCCTTTTAATTATTCAAACCGTTTTCTTGATAAATAACGAAGCCTATGACAAGTAAACGTTCGTTATAACTATTATGAATAGTAAATCTCGTGGATCAGTGGGATGTGCTTACCAATATACTGCATGCAAGAGAAAAGAAAGTCAACTGATAAATCCAGATTGTTCACCAATTCGATTTGGACGAATTCGTTGTCTTTCAGGAACTCTCGTATCTCCTGTTTGTGGTACGTGAATACAAGTATAAACACACTTGGCAACCGCAACAGTGTAGGCACAATTTGTTCCTGTATTTCCTCCATTATAGGCCTACGGTACGTTAAATCAGTCTGTCGCCAGGATTGTAGGACCTACTTGTATTAGAGTAAAAGCCTGTGGATATAATAAACGTAGGCCTAACGTTAGATTTTTCGCATTAGTTGAAAGGTGAATTTTTAGACAATGAATAAATCTATAATACTTTCAGGTAACAATTATATAAGCAATCAAGCATCGTCCTGTAATTAATGTAACAAAAATGGTTATGAACATAGTATTGGCTTGTACTTGTAATATTAAAACAATGTTGTCCAAGATAATTCAACTTGTGTAGGTCATTCATACGCCTAATATCTTCATAATCCTAAAACAAATAGTATTAATATGTTTAGTCAAATTGTGCTATTTGTGTCTGAAGCCGGCCTCGGAGTTAAAAATTTTACATAATTATTTACTGGACATTGATACATTGTAACAAACGTGTTTTTGGCGCACATAGGATAAAATGAAAATAGCCCCCCCCCCCCATTTTTCAGCTCTGTTCTTTGTTCTAATCATCTTGTTTTTGAGGATGTTGTTTCAAATCAATATCTTATAAATTATATATTTTGAAGTCGATTATAATTTTATCCAGGCTCTTTGGCGCCCCTTTTAGTTCGACGCCCTGTCTGCACCTTTGTGTATGGATGAGGCTTATACGTCTATTGTATCTTAATAATGTTTCAGTTTAGTAAATATTAAACATTTTATGAATTTTTTTGGCTATTAGTAGGCCTACTTTTAATTAAGTAGCATGTTGGATTTTGCACTCACATACAAAAAATGAGCCTATTTTTTTGGAGGGCGTAAAACAAATTAATTATCTCAGCTATTTATCCTGTAGTTGGTGTGTTACACTGTTATACCAAATAGCAGAAGAATCAGCTGCTCCGCGTATTTGTATTAAAATTGATGGAACATCGGCCCTCCCGCGAATGGGGTAAAATTTGAACATTTTACTAATGTGGAGAAACTACAGGCAACAAACGAACCAGAGCGGCGCTTTTATTATTGCTATATAGCGCCACCGCGCGGACGGGGTAAAATTGCTCTCCGTGTACCCACAATGCCTTTCGAACGGATGTACCACTATAATTGAGAAGCTGCTCTATCTTCTGCTATTTATTATCTTTGGTTATAATTTGATTCGCATCGCTGGTCACACAATGACTGGCACCTGAAATAAGGTCTCCGGAGTTTAGTGGCAGTTCGAAAGGAAATGGAAATTCATGTTTTTGATCTTTTGAGAAAGGGCAAATGGGTTAAAAAGGGCCACAATATGAACCATAGCCACTGATCTCTACTAATTAAACAAACATATCAGGCTTACTCGAACGCGACAGTGTGTGAGATGCGAAGTACAAAAACCAACAAATACCAATTTCATTATGGAGGGTGCACTTTATTGACTGTATAGTAATTGCAACATGAGCCACCCTCTATCTGCCATCTTGGTGCCAATTGATCAAGTCGATGGTGCGTAGCCAACAAAATTGAGATAAGCTTCGAGGCAAAATTATTGAACTCATGTTACTTAAAAATCCATAACTCTGTAACAAAGAATCGTATCACATTACTTTTTTTTCTGGAAATGTTCTTAGAAGACTATTCTATACCACTATATAAGTTTTAAGAAATGAAAAAATGTCATAGGCTTTGCGTTCACTCATGCATGCTTCTTCTTCTTCTTCTTCTTCTTCTTCTTCTTCTTCTTCTTCTTCTTTCGGCTTCTCCCTTCAGGGGTCGCCACAGCAAACAAGTCGTCTCCACTTCGTCTTGTTCATCACATCCTCCTCATTCACACCTAGTTCCTTCATGTCCTCCCTTATCACGTCCATATACCTCCTCTTAGGTCTTCCTCTTTTTTTCCTACCTGGTAGCTCCATTTCCAACATCCTCCTTCCAATGTATTCCATGTCTCTCCTGCATACATGGCCATACCATTTCAGCCTCGCCTCTCTCAACTTGTCCCCAAATCGCCTTACATGAGCAGATCCTCTAATGAAATCATTTCTGATCTTATCCTTTCTTGTTACACCAAGGGAGAAGCGTAGCATCTTCAATTCTGCAACCTCCATCTCCTCCTCCTGTCTTTTGGTTAGGGCCATGTCTCCAAACCAACCATACGCCATGTCGTCTCATGTCGCAACTCTCTCTATATAGGAACTCTTAACAGTATAAAGTATACTTAAAAGCGAGAGCATTACATAAAAGCGAGAGCATTCCAGCGGATGCGATCTACAACCTCTGAATTTGCTAGTAACGAAGAATTCGTCAAGAAAATAGTAATCTCCTATGAGAAATAGACTGTATTTCTCTTCTTTTTTTTTTTTGAAATTCTTTTACGTAAAACTAAAATTTATGCCAATATTTTCCATTATTTATTATAAATAGAGTAATGCATAGGCCTTTTTTTTCTAAAAAAAATTCATTTTTTAGTGAAATTTTGCCGGGAATGGGGCTTTAAAGTTTTAAGTAAAACGTCTGTTCAAGTAAATCAGTGAAAATGTGTTTGATTTCTTAAATCAGGACATCGCTAGGAATACGCGCTTGTATTACAAACACGTGTGTTCGCAAAGGCAGGCGTTTACCTAGATTCACGCTAATTTAACAAATATCCAAGGAATGGTGCTTAGCTAAATGTCTCATTTATCCTTGTGTTTTATTGATTATTCTCGAGTATTCAAAATGTGTGATTTTTGTTGAATAAAGTACTAAGGAGAAAATGTCATACACTGTACATTGAGTACAGACTTATTTAAACATGATTGACAGTAATTACATGGTTTACATTAATGATATAATATAATCACAGATCTGTACCGTTGAATGTCTTAAACTTTTACTATAAAAAAAGTCATTATATTGGTAACTAGTGTATAGCACTTTCTAGCTCAAATTGAGCATGAAAACAATGTACTAATTCTGTATTTACATTTTTACTGGTTTTAGCGAAACACGTATAGGCAGGCGACCTCATAGTGATCTCGTACCGCCGACTAGTGTTCACAGCCACCATTTATTGAATATAGCATTGCAATAATTTAGTAAATTATGTTGATACTATCTAGAAGCGGAGCATGGATATCAGAATAACCCATTAAGTCGGCATTACAGGCCGATTTATTTCCAATATGATCCAGACCATAAAAATCAGAAAAGTGACTAGTTTAAATTAAAAAAGTAAAATTACAAGTCAAAATAGTTATCATAATAATATAATCACAACACATTATGCAGTAGGCCAACATAAAATCAATTAAAAAATGGGACATGGCAACAAAACAGTGATTTTCTAAGTTTTTAGTTGTTCATTTATTTAAATATTCGTTATGTTGCGTTAATTTTAATGGATTTAAGTGAGTTTTTGAGAAGAGAGTTCAAATCACGGAAAATTGAACTGTTTACCCTAGTGTTATAGTTGTGAAGGTCAGCTATTCTTAGAAAGTTATCCTTCAGGAAAGAGTGGGTATTACTATTATAAACAATTGTAGTTCCTTTTTGTTATCTTTGGATCAAATGAATCTTTTAATTCTAAGGCAAAATTTTCTATTGGGCTAGGCTAGGGTGGGTTCCCATCAGAAAATTTGATTGTTTTAGTACCTGTTAGTCGCGGTGTTCATCGCTGCTGGTTTTTAAATGAATAAACATTAAAAAAATTGATTCCGTGCTCTGTTATGAATAGACAATTATTTTAGGTTCCAACATAGAACAAAAAGTATATACTGATCCTATGGTAACCACTTTTTTTCAACTTAACCCACAAATGTAAGACTTATTAATAAATGTTATTCAGAAAAGCTATATTAACTCATTGGCTACGGTGCCATTTACCTGATTGAAAATACTGTACTACTAATGCATCTGGAATGTTGTCAGTTTTAGTATTGTCACTGTTTTATTTCCGTCGTCCTCAAAATATAACAATTCCTTGCACCTATGCTCTGTATTATGCATATGGTGTTAATACACAAACACTTGTTTGTGTTTAAAAATAGACCTAGAAAGGTCTGTTTAAGCAACAAATTTTGAACTCATTGCAATCAAGGTTTTTCAGTAATACCCATTTTTCAGTAATACCCATTTGTTTTATCCTGGGCCCTGTGGGAGAGCAGTGTTCAACACTGAACAGGTCACCCATGTTAAAGAAGAAATAAATAATTATAGAAAAAAAAATGGGTATTACTGAAAAACCTTGATTGCAATGAGTTCAAAATTTGTTGCTTAAACAGACCTTGCTATAGGTCAATTTTTAAACACAAACAAGTTGTCTATGTTGGAAGAGAAAATAAAATGAAAATTATGAAAAGGAAACACAAAAAAGAAAGTGAAAAAAGATAAGAAACATAAAAAAGAAAGGAAAAGAATAAGAAAAAAATGAAACTTAAGTTAAGAAAAGAAATGTAAGAAAGTAAAGGAAAGTCAAGGAAATATTTGGAAAGAATGTTACACAGAAAAGTTATATTAACTCATTGGCTACGGTGCCATTTACCTGATTGAAAATACTGTACTACTAATGCAACTGGAATGTTGTCGGTTTTAGTATTGTCACTGTTTAATTTTCGTCGTCCATGGGTGTATGCAGGGGGTCGGGAGGGTCGTACGACCCCCGCCCTCCAAAATGTTCAAAGGTCCACATTTTTTCCAAAGACATTTTTTGCTAGGGCCACAATGACATAAATGAAAAAGCATTGACGAGATACCAGCAATGAGTTCAAAGACCTTGCCAATTGCGTGACATAATCCTGGGGTGGACGCAGAGGGAGGGGTGCAGAGGGTGCTATCGCACCCCCCTAAATTGTATTAATAAAAATAATTGTTGTATTATATTGTTGATATGAATTATTGGGAAGATTTTTAAGGCACATGAGAGTGCAATTTCCGGGCACCAAGAGGTCTATATTCTCTCAAGCACCCATGGGTGCGTGAAACAAGAAAAAAGAAAAAGAAAAGAAAAAATGATAGACCAGAACGCCTCAAATGTTATTTCCGGGCGTCTAGAACACAAAAATTTCTCGGGGGCATGCCCTGGACCCCCTAGAGCACTGTTGTCTCGATCGGCCCAACATTTGATCCCCCCCCCCACTGGACATCTCTGGATCCTCCCCTGGTTTCGGCACTTGAGGTACTATTTCCTCAAATTTTCTCACCTCAGCCCCACCATGAATGTGGGCACACGGCTTTGAGGTAGGTCGAGTAGGAAAGTATTTCTTTAGTTTTATTTTCTATGGTACATCACTCGTATGAATTAGATCTCGGTTGTTGCCGAAAATACTGATTAAGGGTCATGAGAAATTTGCTGGCGCTTCATCTAGACTAAATAATGATGGTGTGCTAATGGTGAATTTTACTATATAAAAGTGTCATTTCCGGCCATCACAGGTACTATTTCCATAATTTTTTGCGCGCACCCCCTACAGCCAAATCCTGCATCCGCCCCAGTAATCTATCTCAGTTCCAGCAATAAGACTGAGGCTGCATCCGCTTGAAGCTGGTGGTGCTGTAATCGATTTTCCTGTCTCCTCTGAAAGGTCCAAAAATTATGATCACGACCCACCCAGAAAAAATCCTGGATACACCCCTGTCGTCCTCAAATTATAACAATTCCTTGCACCTATGCTCTGTAGTATTCATATGGTGTGGGTCAAATACCAATTACAATAACAGTAAGTTGTATCACAAAAGCAATTCTAAGCAGAACTAACATAGAGCCTTTATAGAAAAAATGGTTATTACTGAACAACCTTGATTGCAATGAGTTCAACATTTGTTGCTTAAACAGGCCTTTCTAGGTCTATTTTTAAACACAAACAAGTTGTCTATGTTGGAAGAGAAAATAAAATGAAAATGATGAAAAGGAAACACAAGAAAGAAAGGGAAAAGAAAGATAAGAAACATAAAAAAGAAAGAAAAAGAATAAGAAAAAAATGAAAGTAAAGAAAATAAATATAAGAAAGTAAAGAAAAGGAAAAATTGGGAAAGAATAATGAAATGATAAGACAACGAAATACAGGATGGTTGAAATTATGGTAAAATAAGAAGGTAAGGTTTAAAATGATGATTCTTGAGTTATATTTTTCTTGTGATGCCTGTGATTCTTGTTTGTTCTCTTTTCTTCTTTTTTAGACACTGCGCCTTGATCACCTATTTTGGTGGAGAAGTTTTCGCTATAAAAGTCGCTATTATTATTATTATTATTGTTATTATTATTATTATTATTATTATTATTATTATTATTATTATTAAATAAACAACTATAGTATACAATTATTATACTACTATTCTTGGCATGGCCTATTTCCTGAATACCGTTGTATTAAGTGAGAAATCATTTCATAATCCGATAAATTGATAATCATACAAGTTTTGTGAGCAAATATGTATCTTGTGATGCTAATTCTGAAAATAATACTTACCTTAAAGTTTAACCAGTTTATGTAGTATTACGTGAAGAATTATGCGTGAAAAACCCGGATCTACGGCGCATAGTCTTCACGTTATAGGCTGGCGTATGCTAAATGACGTGTTATAGACTCGCTTGCGCGCATTCTCATTTTTGGACAAGGAAATAAATACCATGGAGCTATTTATAGCTCCATAGAAATACGTTGTCAGTAGGCCTACACCATAAAGCTATTAAGCAAAGTTGTGTATGTGTACCATCCAAGATGGCTGCCGTAGGAAAGCGCCACCTTTAGGCCTGGTATACATATATTACCATAAATAAGCCCTCTGGCAGACTATTATTTCATTAATGTTAATTAGTATTGATAATAACAAATTATTAACCTATCGTAGCCAAAAAGAGGCCAAGTAGAGCATCTTATTCAAAAATTAAAACAAAATTAAAATCGAGTACAATACACTCATACACCGCAACGCTCGGATTTAAAACATACGGGTAACTAGCTGTACTAAACTTTCTGTGTAAATTGAGGGTGTCATAATGCTTAGGCGAAATTTGATTGGCTGAATGTATGACAGCCATCTTGGATGGTACATACACACAGCTCTGCGTATTTCGAACATCGAATACATTGCAGTTAGAGCTCTAGTATTCTTATTATATCTCTATGGCCTACACATAGAGAGCTCTGAGTCGCATCATGCATGCGAGATGGCCGCCTACGCCTAGCTCACCAACTCAGGCGCGGTATAAATTCCTGTACAGTATCATTATAATCTTCGACGGCCTAAAAAAAAAAATAGGTTCGTCATCATTATTTAAAGTTTCAAGTAAAATGCTTGTTGTAAATCAATGAAAACGTCGTCGCTCATATCACGAACTAACACAATCAAAGTAGATTGTGTTAGTTCGTGAAATCACTGTGTAGCGCGTCAAAACGAGCACGTATTGGTTGTCAAGCAATTTTGTATTCTTTACCACACAAAAAGTCCTTAACAACAGCGCGTATTTTGACGCGCTTTCTTGATTTCACGAACTAACACAATCTACTTTTATTGTGTTAGCAAATAACTTAAATAGCAGAAGAATGAGCTGTTCCGCATATTTGCATTAAAATTGATGGAACATCCGCCCTCCTGCGATTGGGGTAAAATTTGATCATTTGACTGAGTGGAGAAACTACTGGAAACAAACAAACCAGCATCTTTACTTTATTGATTGTATAGCGCCGCCGGGCGGACGGGGTGGAATTGCTCTCCGTGTACCCACAATGCATTTCGAACGGATGTTCCACTATATTGGGAAGCTGCTCTATTTTCTGCTATTTATTTATCTTTGGTGTTAGTTCGTGATGTGAGTGACGACGTGTTTGATTTGTTAAATCAGGACATCGCTAGGAATACACGTATTACAAACACGTGTGTCCACGTGTTCATCCTAAACTGACTGCTTTTAACCTTGAATCATCCCCCATTATATTTTATTAACTGTATTTTTATACTAAAGTTTTAAAGAATTAATCTTTTAATTATTTGTATGACAAATTTAGCAGAGCTATTAGGAATACCAATCTTAGGGGCTTTTTTTCACTTTTTCTCATTTTTGCTCGTTCGAAACGCACAGTGAAGAACAGAACCACATAAATCACCCGATTTTGGCGCTATTCATTTTTTTTTCTTTTTTTTTTAATGGCCTAGGCCTATATTATCTTGCCGTTCATTTAAAACCCATCCCCGTGCACATTGCTCAAGAGTTGCATTTTTTTCTTTAATTATTGTAAATGTATTCATCTAATATTTTAAATATATTTTTTTATTATATTTTTTTCCTCGCAGGCCATAGATTGGCCCACGGGTCGCCTATTAAGAGCGACTGCCTGTAAATATCGACCTTTACTCATGCGACTAAATATCTTATCAACTAAACTAACTAATTGCTACTAAATATCTTATCAACTAAAATAAACAGTATTAATCTGTATTATATAGGCCTATAGCACTATATAGTGCTTATCAATACACTGAGTGCAAGAATAGAGAATGTCAATATCTAAATCAATAGTGTTCAGCAATTCTTTTCGAATGAGCTCATTTTCTTTTAGGAACTGAAGTAACTTCTGTCTGTGTCACCATGGAAAATTTCCTTCCTCCATGGTGTCACCAACATTAATTATAGGTTTACTTGAACTGATCAGATTATCGCCAGTGCTGTCGATGTTAATATGGTGCATGACTCTGTGAAAATAATATGTGATCAAAACAACAGAGACAGGACTTGGCGGCACATAGAGTCAGTTCTGTATGACTTCAATTAGGACAATCAAAATGCACTTTTATAAGCACTATTTGGTTCACTAACTGTTTACTATCATGTAAATTTAAGTACGAATGTTATTGACGATAAACGTATTGAAAAATAACCTAAATAACCTAAATTTAGTTGTGTTTACCTGGATGATTTAACAATGAGCTGCTTCTACCATGGGTCTCAAATCAGGCATCAGAACCCTGCAATTGCTATGACAACTTTAGCAGAGCTATAATTAGGACTTCGGGGCTTTTATTTCACTTTTTTTCTTTTTTGCTAGTTCGAAAGGCGCATTAAAGAACAGGGGTGTGTTGCCTTTGGTCCGAAGGGTCTTTGGTCCATTTGTCCGAATTTTAGTGACCTGGCCCGGGATTTATCAATCTCAGCTTAGCAAAATCTTAAGTAAAAAAAAGTTCAGATGTCCCTAAGCAAATATCTTAAGCTGAATCATCAAACCATCTTAGCAAATCTTAGCTTAAAAATCGTCTAAGATGCTTCATACGTACAATCGACTTTTTAATTTTAAGCAGTTTTTAAGTTAAAGCAATATTGATAAATTTGACTTAAGCAAAATATGGACTTAAGATGAATTTAAGCTGATTTCTAGTTTGATAAATCCGGTCCCTGGTTTTCTATGAATGCATGCTTATACTGCAGTAGAACAACTACTGAACAATATATGTAGTAAATTAAGTAAGATCACGTTTCAAAAATCATATTCCCAAATGTTTCCCCAACAGCATATAAGGTCAAATAAGAAAAATACTATAGTTTCTCGTCCCCTCCCGCATCCATTTTTCCTGCCTCACCAATTTTTCGTTACTTTTAATTTATTTTCTCTTTATTTTGCGAAATGTACGAAAATCTCTTGACTCAAACGTTCATGGATTGGAAAATGTTCAAGCATTTCCCAGGAAGAATTTCAGTTCAACTATTACCAGTAGTATTATGAATTAAAACTCAATATACATATGGTATGAATAACGTCTAGTGCTTTATTCAGGGATTGCCACTGGAATAACCACTGGGCTATTAGATATTCAGTTACGGCTATGTAAGACATTATCTGATATAGAACTCCTTGATGTACAATGAAAAGCCTTCAGAAGAAATCTGGCTATTTTTATTTGTAGTTTTTTAAGTCAGTATATTTTTTTGGAATTGCTATGCCAGACTTCATGTACATCATTGAGAAAAGCGGGTGGGAGACACGGGGACGGGAAAGGTCCTGTCGTGAAAGGAATTGAACACGGGGAACCTAGGATTAGAAGTCAAGCATCTCACCCACTAAGCTATTCAACTCCACTCCACAATTCGAAAGGGAGAAAAAATTATGATTTTCTACATATTATTTGAAAAATATCTATTTATAAACCCATTTAAATAAACCTCTAAAACCCCTAAATTTTCATATTTTTCGGGGGCTTTGCACCTTGAACCAAACATTTTGTGCGAGTTGAACACGCTCAAATATTTTAATACAGTTTGATAATATGTAATATGACGTCATCGTACCCATATATGGGCATATCACATTTTTTGCCACATAAAAGTTGATAGTGTAGACAAAGCCTTAGGCCTAGACTACGTTCCATTCACTTGGAATCTTTTTACATGGTGGTCCCAAATTTGTGTTTTCTTCAAATATATTTTTCTATAGTTTAATATTTACTTCGGACCAACGGACCAAAGGCCCTTCGGACCAAAGAACCTTCGGAACAATGCACTGACACCGAAGAGCAGGACCACATAAATCACCCGATTTTGGCACTATTCATTTTTTTTAATGGCCTAGGCCTATATTATCTGCCGCTCATTTCAAAACCATCCCCGTGCACATTACTCAGGGGATGCATTTTCTTCTTTACGTTATTGTAAATGTATTCATATAAATTTTAATATGTTATTTTAAAAATATTTTTTTATTATTTTTTTTCCTCACAGGCCAAATGATTGGCCCGCAGGCGGCCGCCTATTAACAGCGATTGCCTGTAAATATCGACCTTTACTCATGCGACTAAATATCTTATCAACTAAAATAAACAGTATTAATCTATTAAAAAGTATTAATCTATTAAGAGCGATTGCCTGTAAAGATCGACCTTTACTCATGCGACTAAATATCTTATCAACTAAAATAAACAGTATTAATCTATTAAAAAGTATTAATCTATTAAGAGCGATTGCCTGTAAAGATCGACCTTTACTCATGCGACTATATATCTTATCAACTACTGCGACTAAAATATCTTTCCAACTAAAATAAACAGTATTAATCTGTTTGGTTATACCAGAAAACAATTAAATTACATGGAAACATCTCGAATCGAACATGGTTATAACCCACGGCACCGCAGCTCTTATCATAATCAACTGATAAACAATTTACAACTACAGTACTGTAATTACGACGACCTAATTGCTTTGCGCATGCGCTATTGTGCTTCCTGCATCGTGTTCTCACGGTGATCGACGTCGTATCATACCATGATGAATGGAGGTATACCTCCATGCATGATCATAGACTCTACAAATATAAACCGTATTCATATTTTATGAAAAAAAAGCCTTAAGAATTGTATGCAACACCCATTATCAGCATCCATCCTTGCCTTTATTCATTAAAACAAATTCTCTCACAGTGTATGATATTTATAAGAAGAATATTTCAATATTTATGTATAAGTACTTCATGGGACAAGTACCAGTGTCTTTCAATAGTTTTTGTTTTCAGACTTATGGCTCTGTATACACAGATATGGTACAAGAAATAAAGATAACTTGTGTATA